TAATCTTTGTAACATGTTGCTGTATTCAGTTCACTAGTATCTTATTTAGGATTTTTGCATCTGTGTTCATGAGAGATACTGGTCTGTAGTTTTGTTCTTTTGTGTTATCTTTACCAGGTTTTGTTATCAGAGTAATATTGGCCTCATAAAATGATATGAGAAGCATTGCCTCCTCTTTGATTTTTTTGGAAGAGTTTGATGAGAATAAGTATTAAATCATCTTTGAATGTTTGGTAGAATTCACTGGTAAAGCCATCTGGTCCTGGATTTTTACTTTTTGGTAGGTTTTTGATGATTCTTTCAATTTCCATACTGCTGATTGGTCTATTCAGATTTTCCAGTTCTTCTCGATTCTTCTAGGAAGACTGTATTTTTCTAAATACTGGTCCATTTCTTCTAGGTTATTAAATTTGGTTTTATATACTTTTTTTAATAGTATTCTTGTATGATCTTCTGTATTTCTGCGATGTCAGTCGTAATTTCTCCTCTTTCACCCCTCCCTGATTTTGTTTGTGTCCTTTCTCTTTTTACTTTAGTGAGTCTAGCCAAGGGTTTGTCAATTTTATTAACCTTCTTAAAGAACCAGCTCTTTGTTGTATTTATTTTTTCTATTGTTTTTTTCATTTTCAATTTCATTTATTTCTGTTCTAATTTTGATTATTTCTTACCTTTTGCTGACTTTAGGTCTCCTTTGTTCTTCCTTTTCTAGTTTTTTAAGATGAAGTGTTAGGTTGTTTATTTGGGCTCATTCTTGTTTTTGGAGATAGACCTGTAATGATATGAACTTTCCTCTTATGACTGCCTTTGCCGTGTCCCAAAAGTTTTGATATGTTGTACTATCATTATCATTTGTTTCTATGTTTCTCTTGATCTCTCTTTTTATTTCTTCCCCAAGTCAGTTATTCTTCAGTAGCATGTTGTTTAATCTCCATGTATTTGTGGTTCTTCCTGATTTCTTTTTGCAAGATCAAACATTTTTAAATGTTTGAAAATATCACATCGGTAGAGTTATTTTAAATAGGCAGAGGTTTCTTCCCAGTTTCTCAGTTTTAGTACTAGTGTCATATTGTGTGCTATGAAACTCATTAAGTAATCTCAGCTCAGCTCATATTAAGTTATAAACTGAGAATTTTAGACAAATATTTATAAAATATCTTTCTACAGCTGATGATAGTCAATAAAATTATTTTCAGAATCTAACCTTGGTGATCTTAAGACAGTGAAAAACTGAAGAGAGTTTTCAACAGATTGAGCTAAACCCTATCTGCTAAGGAAACAAAAATTGGAATTTAGAGCTTACCAAATTGGGCCCCTAAATGCTACACCCTAGAAATTACAGTAACTTGAATTCAGACCAGCCCTCAATTGGAGTGAAGTGCAGCTTCAAATTCTCCTATTACTGACTAGATCGTGACGATCTGGGATTACTATGGCCCTTACCCTAGATACCTACTAGAAACAAAAATACATCTTCCTTAGAGGAAAAAATAATTAAAACTAATTAAACTAATTAACACTTAAAACGAATACAATGTTATATGTCAGGAAAAAAAAGGCAGAGGGGACAGGAAATAGAAATATGAATTCTATTGCCCAGCCTAGAAACCTGAAAGCAAACCTTTCCTCTTTCCCCCTGTTATCCCTCATGTTCAATCAATCACCATATCCCACCAAGTCTTTTCCTAAACATCTCTCTTAAATCTGTCTAAATTTCTGCGCCTTCATTATCTCTAACCCAATATGGTGGAGATGGAATGGGGCAGGGTAAGAATAGCACAGGGCAGAGAAGCCTGCCACTTGACCAAAAACCTAGGGTGCTTTTACAGTTAAAAACAAAATGAACCAAAATCCTGACTATATGACTACAGGAAATGGCCAAAGAAAAAGGAAAAGAACTCCCTGTAGATCTGAAAATCTGCAAGTCTCTAAAAGTGGCCAAGAACACCCATTCTCCTAGAAAGTCAAAGTTCTATTTCCCAGAATTCAATAC